AGACGGTGATCGATCGACGATACCGACACCGGAGTGGAGAAAGGGTGGGAGGTGGTGCCGGGTGGAGGTGGGGTTTAGGGAGAGAAATGGAGGTGGTGGAGGAGGGGAGCGGGGAGGAGAGGGAGAGGAACATGGCGGAGGGTAGGCGAGAGCTTGAGGCGACGCGATTAAGAGGTTTTCAGACTGCATTTTACCTCTAAATAATTCAGATGAAATCAAATGTTTTAAGCACTTAATTTAAAAAAAAAACAAACGCACTTAATCCCTCAATGTCTGACCGATTCAGACATAAGAGGCAATTAAGTGCTTCTTTTTGAAAAACAAACAACACCTAAATATGAAAATAATCAAGATATCTATAGAACTATATATTCAATAGTCTAGGGATGGTTGAGATTGATCCGTATTATTTATAATAATTATGAAGTTAGCAAATTAAGAGGACCATATATATATATATACACATACTTTGGTCGTCAAAAAAATGCAAATATTTGTTATTTATTAAGATTTCAATCACAAATTCATTCGCTTCGTTAAGAATCATTATCATGACATCTTCTTGTTGACAAGAAGTTGTTTGAATTAAGTAATATTTTACATATTTGATTATTTGTTTAAGTTTATATCCAAATTAATTAATGTTATAAATCTGTTTTGGGATGGCCATATATTTACTACTAACCCAATGTCTAAAATATTTGTAGTTAAGAGTACACAAAATTTACTTACATCAATAACTGTAATACTGATTATAATCGATATGATAGATATATAATAATTCTTTTACTCATAATATGGTGAAAAGGTAATTTACATACGAGAAAGCAAACCATTGTCTAGCAAAGAACAAAAGAATCGTACGTATCGTTGAACTTGTTATAACCTCATATTTGTATACCATCGGCAGAAGTTGGAATATCCAGATGTGCTCTTCCCAAACGAAAAATGGAAAATGGTGCGAGACCAGGACAAAAGTGGAGTAAGAGTTTACTTTGAACTTATTTGGACTCATTCAATAAACAAACAATTGAATTTTCTTGGCTTGTGTAGCCCTCTGTGGAAGAAGGTATTTATTCAACGAGTAGGACTGTCTCATCCTCATTTTCCTATTACAATTTTATAGTCTTTTTGTTGCAGGATTTGGTATTCTCGATTATTAAAGTATTTTTGTAAGAATTTGTGCTACAACGATGGAATTCATACAATGAGACCACCTACCCCATAGTTTTTTCTCCTATTAACTAGTGTGTGTATGCATACATGTATGGCTTGGGTACCCATTACGTATATGATACCAACTGGGTTCATATAATATACATGGAGAATTATTTATCTTACATGATAGAGAGAGAGAGAGAGAGGAAGAGAGAGAGAGAGAACATCTTTATTCATGAAAGATCTGTCTAACTAGGGTTTCAAAGTAGTTTCTGGTATTTTTGTCTAAAGTTTTATCAGTGCATTTCTTGATCATGAAGATATGATTAGGGTTCTTTCCTAAAATAGAAAAAAACTGGTAAAGCTTTTTTGTTTGGAGGAAACCCTAAAATTGTGTGCTCACGGCTGGTCGGATTACTTGTTTGAAGCCTTCCTATCAAAGAATTTACTCATATTTTCAGATGATTGCAACACATAAAGGCTACTATACCACACCGACGGAGATCAAAGAGAGATTCACATAATTAAGCATGGAGAGAAGCGAAGAAACCAAGTGTTCGAAGACAAGTTTGGATTCGTACCTTGATGAGGACGGGGAGGAGGAAAGCGAGTCGAAAGAAGTTGTGGAGTTGAAGGATGGAGGGAGTTGTAGCAATAGCACGGTGGAGGAGAGTGATAAGAAGCCACCGATTCGACCATATGTCCGATCTAAGATGCCTAGACTCCGGTGGACAGATGATCTGCATCTTCGCTTTGTTCAGGCAGTTGAGAGGCTTGGTGGACAAGAAAGTAAGTAATCATACATGTCTTTGTGTTGTTCAAGCTTATTCTCAAGGTTCTAGACCATTTTGATTTGTAGTTGATGGTTTTGATTTTGTTCTACAAAGGAGCGACTCCAAAACTGGTACTTCAGCTGATGAACATCAAAGGACTTCACATCGCTCATGTCAAAAGTCATTTACAGGTTTTTCTTATTGCTGATGAATACACTTTTTGACTATAGACTCATAATCATCAAATATTAACATCAAACACGCCTTTATTTTTGCTCTTTTTGGGTGTTTGTTGCATCAGATGTATAGAAGTAAGAAGATCGACGACCCAAGCCAAGGTATGCTAATTGCTCACCCTTTTAGCCGTAAAAATCAGTAAATTAGGGTTCATCTCTCTCTCTCTCTCTTTGTCTATCAATTTTCTTTCCGCTTGTGTGATTCATGTAAATGTATCCGTATATATAGCAGTTGCTGATCCAAGGACCGAAGATGGAGATCGTAATATTTACAACCTGAGTCAATTACCAATGCTTCATTGCTATAACCAAACGTATGATTCAGCCGTGAGGTAAAATACAAACTCAATTCAAGAAAAAAAGAGAATTAGCAATAATTAAAAATCCAATGCCCATAGCACTTTTTCTTGTAATATTGTTTCCGTTAGATCTTTGTTTTTTCTTGTTTTAGTTGAATAATGGTCTGTTTTTTGTGTTCAAAGATATGAAGATGCACCACTGTACCGTCGTGATTGGATGCATATCGCCTTGAGGGACCATGGCTCATTTGAAAAGACAAAACCAAGATTTTATAACATGGCCGCCGATAGAATTTTGGCGATAAACCATGTGGGACAAGCAAACCGTGGTCTCCAAACTAATCATCTGCCAATTTCATGGCGGATCCAGAAAGTTAATGATGATTATTTTGGATCAAGAATGTGTGAGAAGATGAAGATGTTGCAAGACCAATACTCAAAGCTGCCAAACAGCACCTTAAAGCTCAATCGCTTCAAGGTTCAAGAACATCAAAGTAATCCCCTAGATTTGGGATATACAAGCCCTGAGAAGCATGAAGAAACAAAGAGGAAGGCATCTGATCTGAATCTGAATCTTGATTTGAATCTGTCTCTTGGGATTCATTCAAGAAACACCGAGAGCCTGGAGGGTTCGGAAGGAGAAGACGACGAAGGTGAAGAAGGTAATTTGTCATTGTCATTGTACTCACCCTCTTTCTCAAGAAACAGAAAAAGGTTAATAAGAGAAGATGATCATAGCAATGATCAGAAAGCAAAAAGGGCAAGTACTCTGGATCTGACTATATGAATGAGACAAATTCTAAGTGAGATCTTGAGGTACTTGTTCTAGATTATGCATTTGTGATTTTCCTGTTCCATCGTCTTTTTAAACTTAAAAAGAAAAACATCTGCATATTACTCTTGTTTTATTGTTTGTCATCCTATGATATCTTCTTGTTTGCTACAATACGTACAGATATGGCTTTTACACCTTCATTTATAAGCATTTTAGCATCCAGATTTGTAGCCACTATATACAAGAGTGACTAACTTTTTCTAGCTACGTATTTGATTCTCTTCATTAATAATACACCATGGGTTTTGTGAACCTACAGAAAAAAAATGTCAGAATGACTGCTTTTAGACAAAAAGAAAAAGAAAATACAATACTTCTTCTGCATAGAATTTGTGACGAAGTGGAGAGTAAGTTTTGGATCTTCACATGACGGATAAACATAGTTTATTTGCAACAAAAAATCGTATACGATCATTGAAAAAATAGAGGCGACAGTAGTTTAATTAAAAAGAAATATTTAAGAGAAATTTAAATCTGACCTTTGTTAGGATTATAATGTGCATTACCATTTTCCCTATATATGTGAATCATGCATGTCAATACATATGATGTCTAGATTTCATTCATAATTAAACCACGAATTCCTTTCGAAAGCGAGCCTAGAAGCAACGGTATTAGGCTATTTCTAATAACGAAAGCAGTATCTTCACATATGAAATAAGAATATATATATATATATATATATATATGTGTGCGTATAGTGGTGGATTCAGAAATTTTCTTGATGAAGTCGGGATGTAAATAATGGACATGTGCCAACTTGGTGGACAATGTCCTGTACCTAAGTAGTTTGTTTTATTTATCTCTTTGATTAAGATGATTCTCCGTAAAAGAAAAAAAAATCTATCGGATGTATCCAAGATGATTCAAATTAACAATTTTAATAAAACATGATAATAAATTAACAACATTAAATCAACAATTTGAAATCAATCAACAAATCCTAACCATAACCCTAAGAACTAATAACTAACAAAAACTTAACAATTATACATATAAACTAATAAAGTGTAAGCCAAACAGATCATGATTAATAATTAATGTAAAAACAAATTATAAAGAAAATTTTATGGGATCAAACCTTATTTATTTTGGATCAAAATATATATCATTTATAAAAAATTAAATTTGATAATACAAAAAACAAGATTTTAGAATCTTTAAGGGTCATTTGACCTCCGAATTACAACATCCCCCCCTTTCTCTCTCTATATACATATGATTGCATGTATGATAGTCATACTCAATCATATATTATTTTTAAACTTTTTTTTCTTCCAAATTGATTAACTAGTATGATCCTTCCAATATATGTGTGTGTATATGGGATGGTTCATTTGATAACTATAATAATTCGGTCAAAGAGGCCTTCAATGACCCCAATTTGATGGTCACATGGACATGGTCCTTTCAGGCGGTTGCCATTTAGCCCATAGTCCATTGGATGGCCGGTGCAAGGTCAGAAATTGAAACACATTGATTCCGTCATTCTCATCCTTCGCTTAGGGCCTGTCCCTCGATGTTTAATAACCGGAGAATTCCAATGAATTTAAGTGAGCATAGATATCAATCAATGCATATATATCTGCATACATTGTAGATATCCATTGATGAATATATTATTGACGAATTACATAATTTAAAAGTGTACATGTATCAATAAATATATAGATTCTTTGGGTCTCAAATTTTATATTGTTCAAACATAAAGTTGATCCAATATATATATATATATATGTGTGTATATATACACACACTTCCATTTTGACTCTTACAATATCAAGAATCCTTGATATATTATAAACCATTCTTGCTCCAAACCAGAAGCACCCTATATACCTTGGCCTCTTTGCTGCTTGTACAATCATTAATTATGTTTGGGATAATGTTTCAGTTTTTGTTGTTTTTATAAGTAAATTTGACCTTAAAAAACTGTATCTTAGGCATCGGAAGTTACATTATGATTGATGCGAAAGAAGATATATATGGTTTGAATTACTTCCTCTTAATTTCCTCTTCATTAATGAGGGTATGTGTAATATTTGTCTTACCTCAAAAACAGAATATGTGTCTCCTACATGCATGTGAGTATCGAAAGGAAGTGCATTTTGTTAGTTTAATAGCATCCCTAGGTAACAGAGATATTCTTACATATTGCATGGATTTCTTAAAACAAATACATAAAACCCTCCCATGGGATTATGTGGGAAAGATTCCATTTACCTCCCCTTATAAACATTAATAACGCATGAATACATATTAGGGGTGAGCATAGGCGGGTACCCGCCTTTTTTGACAGGAACCGGAATCGGAACCGGAACCGGCGGTTCTTGAGCGGTTCTTGAATTTATGGAACACGAACCAGAACCGCCGGGAACCGGTTCCGGTTCTGGGTACCCGCTTCCTAAAATATTAAAATTTTGTTATTTAGAAATAAAAATAAAATATTGCCAAAACACTAAATTAAATAAACAAGAATACAAATTATACGGAATAATGGTTACAAATATTGTTTTAACAATTACAAACCATAATAGACTAATAGAAAATGTTCAAAGTTTAACGATTATATACTATAATTGTAAATGTTCAAAACTTAACGATTACATACTACGAACTGTAGTTTAGTAGAACTAGAAAGTAAATGAAGAATGAAGATGACCGCGTCATTTGAAGATGTAACTTAATATAAATTTGGTATTGAAAAAAATCAATTATTTTTTTATTGAAAAACAACCGCCGGTTCCGGGTACCCGGCGGGTAACGGTTCCGAAAAACTGAGAACCGGAACCGGAACCGTTCTCAATCGGTTCCGTATTTTAGGAACCGAACCACTCATATTGGTTCCGGTTCCGGAACGGGTGGTTCCAAGGCGGTTCCGGTTCCGCAAACGGGTACCCGATTCCGCTGCTCACCCCTAATACATATACATACATACATATAAATACATGCATACATACATACATATATGTATATATGTATGTGTGTGTATATATATGGAAAGTTTCATCTGAAAAGTTGTAACTATCTGAAAAATAAACAAGTAATCGTAACTATTCATCTGGTCAACATTTGCAGCTTTGACTTTAATGTATCGGATAATTTCTTGTATGGATATGCAGAAGATAGAGGGGGTAGTTTCGTAACTTTTACAAATAAACGGCAAAAGAATTAATATTTGAACCCATATGATATATATATGAGTTATATGTTGATATGTGAACCCGTTAATTAGTTCAAATGTGGACTATTTAACTGATTCATATATGAAGTCACAGTTGCATCAGTTAATTAGTTCATATGTAAATCACACAGGTTCATATGTGAATAAGTTAAGATAATTCGTATGTGAATTACACGAGTTCACATATGAACATATGTGTAGCACATAGGTTCATATATGAATTTTATACGCCTTTTTTTAAAAGTTACGAAACTATCATCTCTATTTTTTGCAAACCCGTAACTTTTTACCAGTAAAAGCCGTAATTATTGACCAGTAAAAGCCACAATTTGACAGGTCAAATCTGATCTTGACCGTATGAAGGATTAAGATCACTTCTTTACTTCTCAAATTTTTATTACTTCTCAAAATAACTTTTGGCTATATATATATATGACAATAATCAAATGAGAAACAAAAAAAATTTACAGACTTGTGTGAGAATCGATATAAAAATATCTTTTTACAATTCATTTGATCAAAAGCTATGATTTAACATATAATTTTTTATTGGGCAAAATGTACAAAATAGCAATCTATTTTCATAAATTTTTTTATTATAACATTGTACTTTCAGTTTTTCTTATTACAGCAATGTACTTTCAAACTATTTTTTATTAGGACATTATACTTTGAAAAATTTACCCATTATAGCATTGGGTAACCTTTTGATTTAAATTTACCCATTATACTAGGTTTCCATGCCACCTCATTGTCCACGTAGGCTGTCCATATATATTATAGTGATGTGACTTTCTTAATAAATCATTGTACTTTCAAAATTATTTTATTATAGCATATTCTAGTTCTTATTAAACAATATATTTTAAATTTTAATATTTAAATATTTTATATGTTATTTAATAAATGAATTAAAAAAATTCTAAATTATTCATTAATATACCAATATCAATAAAACTAGTAGAACACAACTTATCTCGCTAATATTTTTAAAAAAATGTGTTTTTTGAAAAATAGGAAAATAAGAATTGTTCTTTTTTTACCAAAAAATATTATCTTTTAAAGAATATATTATATTTGTTCAAAAACTTTTTACTTGACGTATAAATATATTAAATTAATTAGATTTTTTTGAAATATTTATTAATTTAACAATATTAAAAAATTGTAG